CATTCAAGAGTTGAAGGAAGGTGTGATAATTTTCCCCAGCCAAGTTTCAGGGACAGGTAAGGACTCCCATGTCCAATCCCTCTACCCTGACACTGACATCTGTGAAAATAGCTCCAGGCTGGGCTGGGCTCCATCCCCCACCCATCTCTCTCCATCATGCTGTAACCCAGGCCACCCCTACAGGCTGCTTCCCTTTAGAGCTCCAGGCCATTAGCTGAGGCGGTGACCTTGACCTAGCCTGGACTGTTCAAATGAAGGGTCTGCCTCAAAACAGTGTGGGTTGAGTTGACCCTCAGTGACCTGCTGTGACCAGTCATGTAGTTGCCCTCTTAAAGGCAATGCTCCACCAGGAAGAGCCCAGACATAAAAAGGTCAGCCTGGGCTGGAGAAACCTTAACCTCGGTTGAATCCCAGACTCAGAGCACCAAGGCCATGGCCTGCCCCAGTCTTGCTTACTGCCTGCTTGCTAGTGTCTCTGACCTCTGCCTGCTACATCCAGAACTGTCCCCTGGGCGGCAAGAGGGCTGTGCTGGACGTGGACATTCGCAAGGTGAGTCTCGCCCATCCGGTCCGGTTCCAGCAGCACTAATGATCAGAGAAGACACCCACACTCAGAAACAGAGCATCGTACACTCTTGCCAGCCCCACCCCAGCCTCCCATGGGAACCCAGGGCATTGGGAAGGGCTGTGCTCCCACTTGATGACCTGCAGGCAGAGACAACGCCTGAGCACCCAGTGTCCCTCACCCTGCCTCAGTCCCCATATGGACCAAGGCCCTGGGGACCTTGCTGTGTGCCCACTTGCTTCCTTCCCCTGCAGTGCCTCTCCTGTGGCCCTGGCGGGAAAGGGAGCTGCTTCGGGCCAGACATCTGATGCGACAATGATCTGGGCTGCTTTATGGGCATCCCCGAAGCACTTCGATGCCAGGAGAAGAAACACCTGTCCCTTCCCTGCCACTCCAGTAGGAGGCCGGGCGGAAACGAGGGCCACCGCGCATCCTCGGGCATCTGCTGCACACTAAGTAAGCAGAAGGGGGCTGGTAGGACCTCTGCACAAGGAGCCTTTGGGTTTCCTGCTCGGGTCACTGACCAAGTTTTCTTACAGATAATTGCTTCATGGACCCCACCTGCAACAGTCCTGGGTCTGCCTTCTCAGAGAGCTGAGTCCACTTGGCAATACCTTTAGAGTGCATCCCTCACTTCCCATGGCCATCGCCAGAAAGAATGACAAATAAAACAGATTTCTTCTTCAAACTTGACTGCTGTCTCATTGCCTGACAGGGGTCGGGGGAAACATGGGGATCCATGGGCCCTGACCATTCAGAGCAGGAACAGACCAACAGGCTGGGCTGCTGGGGGACAGAGGACATCACCACCCACCCTACAGGTTAGCCCCACTTTCCACTGCCTAATGGGGTGGGCCTGCGGCAGACTGACCTAAGAGCAGCATTTGAAGGTCCCAAGAGCAATGGTGGACATCTGTGCAAAAGACAGGCTCAAAAATATACGTGAAAGAGGGACTGAATAAGAGGGAGTCAGACAGGCTGAGGAACTCATCCAGGCTCGTCCTGATCTGAGACTTCAGACACAACCTCAGGAGGTGAGGGGCAAGCCTGGCCTAGAAAGAAGGGGCTTGCAGGGAATGGTCAGTGCAGACCATAGGTTTCCCCAGAGATGGATTCTCAACGGGCATCAAGGAGGCCACAGCTGGAAAAATCAAGAACCCACAGCCTCTCCTCTGCTGTCTTCAGGTGAGGCACCTGAGCTCAGGGGCCCTGCTTCTGCCTCTGCAGGACAGCATGGAATCTAAGAGCCTGTGGGCACAAATGACCGTAAACCTTAGAGCTCACAGGCAAACTGACAACCACAATCTGTACTGCTCACCTATTGCTGGATTAAAGCACCCCACACAAGCATGCCTCACTCAGCTGCCTGTGTTCTCAGCGGTGATGGCAGAAAGCACATGCCCCTCCTCCACTCCCACTCAGGGGCAGCCGGTCACTGTCTGCTGGAGTTAAATGCCATGGCTCGTGTGGAGCCAGTGCTGGAGATCTTGTCCCACAGTGAAAAGCACTGGGCTCCACGCCATCACAGCAAGGAAAGAAACATACAAGCACTTCCTGTGGACCTCACACCCAGGAGAAGAACACACATGATCCAGTCACCACATACGGGACTCACAGATTGGGGGAGAGGAAAAAATACATGAAAGAGACTTCAAGATTGATTTCTTGTTCCTTATCTTGTTGTTTTTATTTTCTGGGGCTGGGTTTTGAAGATTTTCTAATTTTTTGTATATTATGCATACAGTGTTCTGCCCTCCTGTATGCCTACATGTCAGAAGAGGGCACCTGATCTCAATACAGATGGCTGTGAGCCACCATGTGGTTGCTGGGAAGTGAACTCAGGACCTCTGAAAGAGCAGCCTGTCCTCTCAACCTCTGAGCCAGCTCTCCAGTCCCAAGATTTTGTGTCATAAGATTTCTATTCTGCTATATTTCATTTTTGTGCATGTGTCTCTGTTTGAGGGTATGTCCACCTGAGTGCAGTTCCCATGGAGACCAGAAGAGGGCATTAAACCCACTAATCCTGGAGTCACAGGTGGTTGTTAGTCATCCTATGTGGGTACTAGCAACAGAACTGTGGTCCTCTGTAGGACAGTGTGTTCTTCTAACTCCTGAGTCATCTCTCCAGCCTAGAATTCAATTAATTGCATTTCTTCATTTCTTTATTCTGTGTGGGGAAGACAGTGCACACATGCCACAGCCTGGATGTGGGAGTCAGAACACTTGGTGTCTGTTTGTTTAAGCCCCTTTGCTTCTGGAGGCTGCAGAGGGGAGACAAGCATGGACTGTGAACTCTACAAGTGCCCTTCAGTGGCTCTGTAGTTGGTAGGCGACTCCCGGAAAGGGAGAGGCAGAGAGAGAATAGGAAGTCCACTGGGCAGAAATAATCCCTCTCCTAGAAGAAGAGGACACTGAGTCTTCGAGAAGCAGGTGAGGGAAAGTGGTGTTACAATTCTCCACCTGGACAGAAGAGTGGAATGAGGGATCTCAATCTCATCCTGAAGCTGTCTGTATACCAGTCCCAGGAACCCAATGCAGTGTCGTCAAGCCAGCAGTCTCTCCTTCCTCTTTCTCCTCCTTTTTTGTCTGGTCTTTTTGTTTTGTTTTGTTTTTGTTTTTTCAAGACTGGGTTTCTCTGTATTATTTTGGAGGCTGTCCTGAAACTCACTCTGTAGACCAGGTTGGCGTCGAACTCACAGAGATCCGCCTGTCCCTGCCTCCCAACTGCTGAGATTAAAGGCATGTGCCACCAACACCCAGCTTTGGTGTGGTCTTTTCCTTGGCCCTACCCAAGTGCAGGTCAGATCATGAGAGAGCCCCCATAGGAAGGAGGCTGGGGTAGGAGTCTGTCTGGCCCCTGTACCACATGGTTAAACACAGGCATGCAGAGAGACTTAATGGTGCTGAGATGGGAGTTGACCTGGATGGAGACTGGGTAGGTCACTTTGACTCTGTTCAGGGCTGACCATGCTAAGCCACCCAATGAGGTCACTCAGACTGACCTCTGACTTCCATAGTTGCCCCTGAACTCAGAGCCTGTAGAACATCCCAAAGGGTATGCAGCATCTTGTGGCCCCTAAGCATAGAGCAATATGGCATTTGGACAGGATGCCTAGGACAGATGCTGTAGAGAGAAGGGCAGGAAGTTAGCAGGAGGGTAAGGAACAGAAGAGACCAGGAAAGGATAGACCACCTGTGAGAACAGCCCTAAAGGCGGAGGCACTGGTGGACCAGTGTAAGGACAGGCTTCTAGGGGCCTGAAGCACTGTCTCAGGGCAGTTTGAGAGGACTGGGATTCAGTTCTCAGTATCCACAAACATCTGTAACTCCAGTCCCAGGGAATCCAATGTCCTTGTCTGACCTCTACAGGCACCAAATAGCTCAGGAGCTGATGTGCGCACACATAGTGCACAGGCATACACAACAGAAAAACACCCATGCACATAAATAAATCTAAACTTTTAGGAAAAAAGAAAAGCTAATGGGAAGGGGGAGGAGGCAGAGGTCAAGTGCTGATGCCATCTTTGCTCCAAAACTGGATGTGCCAAAGGGAAGAACATACCTATGTCTGGGAGCTACTATGTGTCTTGCTGCTAGACATGTGTGTTTCTCTGGGTCTGTAGGTCTAAAGTCATGGAAATGTCCCTAGCAGTTGTGTCTTTTCCTCCTCTCCCCTTCCATTTCCCTCCTTCTTCCTCTGTGGTGGGCACCAAATCCAGGCTAGGGGAGCCTTCTTTCTACTCCTGAGCCACAGCCACAGCCACAGCCACAGCCACAGCCACAGCCACAGCCACAGCCACAGCCTGGCGTGTTTATTTCCCTGCCTGAGATTGGGTGTGGTGGTTTGAATATGTGCCTGCAGGGGACTTTCAGCTGAACAATCTCGGTGAGGGGTGGGCTGTCTAGCTCCCATTGGTTGTGTTCTGCCCATAGAGAGCCTGGAGAGACAGCAGGTTGCACTGTCTCATTTAGGTCTGGGGAAGTCTCCGTGCCTTCTCCCAAGCAAGCAGAGTCTTGGGAAAAAGTGACGTTGAAACCAGAGTCCCTCAAGTTTTGTCTTAGTCTGGGATGAAATTGGGACAGAGACGGTTACCCTTGGCTTGGCCCCTTACTTCTCAGTCACTTTCACTGATTCTGTCTCTCATACCTTGTCCACCTTTCTTGTCCACCAATGCCCCCTCTCCCGATTTTATTTCGGTCTTTGTTCTGAAGGTATTATGCAGATATCCGGGAGCTCCAGAATGCTCCCCTTATAACACTTACACGTTCTGCCCCTTCTGGGCATGAGGACCTGGACCGTGCCTTCACAATTAGCCAGTGCTGAGTAGAGAGATCGCACTCCAAGCTTTTCCCTCCCTCCCTTTCCCTTCCCTTCCCTTCCCTCTCCTCTCCTCTTTTTCCATCCCCACCCCAGCAATAGAGACAGACACCAGGGTGCATTTTTAAAAGTTTATTTTCCACGTTACGGGGGGAGGCGAGGGGACGATGGCTCAGTAGACCCGGGGCTTGGCAGAATCCACAGACTCCCGCGTCCCAGCCATCTGCACCAGACGGAGCAGCAGCGCCCGTGCGGGCCCGTCCAGCTGGGTAGCGTTGCTCGACTCGCGAGCGCGCGTGAGGCGGAGAAAACCCTCGCGGCACTCAGGTTCAGTCACGCAGCTCTCTGAAGGAAAAACTCTGTGAACGCAGGCGCCCTGAGGTGTGCGCAGCTCCAGGGACGCCGTCCCAACGCTGCACTCCCACCCTGACACCCCCCCCCCCCCGCCATATCCCACCCCTCGGCCTCCTTTGTTCTCACCCTCCAACCCGGTCTCCCTGCCCCCCACCTCGCACCCCCATCCCCAACCCCCCACCTAACGCACCCGATCCACCCTCCCATCCTACCCGCACCCCGCGGCCCCACCCCCACCCCGCCCGGCCTCGTGCGCACCGTCGCTGCAGCAGACGCCCGCGGTGGCGCAGCGACCCCCGCTCCCGCATGGCTTCTGGCCGGACTGGCAGGGCGAGGGCAGGTAGTTCTCCTCCTGGCAGCGCAGCGCCTCGGCGGTCCCCACGAAGCAGCCCAGCTCGTCGGCGCAGCAGATGTTAGGCCCGAAGCAGCGTCCTTTGCCGCCGGGGCCGCAGGGGAGGCACTGCGGGGTAGGACATGGATAGGAGAGTGGCGGTGGGAACCGGGGCCACTTTGCTGCTGTCCTGGCCTCGCTGCGTGCTGCAGGTGCCCTGACACTATCCAGGCCGAGACAGCACAACAGTCAAGGGCAGGAGTGGAACTCTAAACTGCCTGATTATCCGAGAATCAGTTCTCTCTTGGAGCTCTCAAAATCCTCACCTGCATTGGCAGTCTCCCCCAGATTGCAGCGCTTGGGGACCTTGCTCATCTCTGAAGCGTCACTGGTGTGCAGCAGTCTCTCAGAGGCTTATGTCCCTGACATTCATGTGGTCCTCCTACACATCCCAACACCTCTTTGCCCCTACCACACCCCCACCCCCCACACAGAGAGCACTCCTGCTTCTAGAGCATTCATTCCCTTCCTCTCATTTTCTGGCCTTGCTCTAACTCCTGCCCCAAGCTGGTAGGCCTCACCTGAGCCTTAACCCCTGGCCCACCTGTTATGCCCTATTAGGTGGGTAGCAGGGACCAAATCGGATGCGTGCACGGGCACCTGGTGCCTTGAGCCTCCAAAGGAGCTCTGCACAAGGACTGTGAGCTCAGTAGCTCAAAATTGAGCCACCTGTGGCCTTGCCCTGGATTCCCGCAAGCTCTTCCAGAAGGGCAAGGCTCACACCTGGACATACAGACAAGAGAGTTGGACAAGAGGTTCGGGTGAGATAGGGACATACGCCAGTCAGGCATGCACAGAGCAATGGCCATCTTCTTGTGGCAGGAAGACATTGGCACTAGTGGCTAGAAAAGGAGTTGTGAGAGGCCGGGCTGGGTGGGAAAGGCCTTAAATTCAGACTAGAACCGAGCTTTGTATAATCCAGCCAGTTCTGATGGGTTGACACCCCACCCCCTCGTTCAGGGACCTGGGTGCCCAGTCCAACCTGCTCTTGTCCCAAGCCCAGTTATAAGGAAGTATGTCTCCTTTCCTGGCATAGCCCCTGCACAGGGACAGTCCCTCATGTGGCTTCCCTGACACTTGGTCCCCTCTCACCACCCGGAGTTGTCCGTCCACTGCGCTATATTGCCTCCTTCCAGGAACCTCCCTTAAAGCCTGACTTCTCTCACAATTTGTTTCCCTCTCCTAGCCCCTGACCCACTCCTAGGGCACTGCCAGCAGCCCTGAAATCGACCACAGTGGTACCTGTCTCAGCTCCGTGTCAGACATGGCCCTCTTGCCGCCTCTCGGGCAGTTCTGGAAGTAGCAGGCAGAGGTGAAGGCTAGGAGGCTCAGGAAGCAAGCACACAGCGTGGTGTTGAGCATTCTGGCGAGCATAGGTGGACGCTGTGTGCAGCGCTGTTCTGCTGGCTCTGTTCTGCTGCCTTAGCGGGCTGTCTATTTATGTCTGCAGGTGTTCCCTAGGAGGCGACAACGTGGCTGCTAACCCCCTCCCCGGTGGCTCCCCAGGAGCCCACAGACGACAGGTCCCAAGCTGTCAGCAGTGATTCAGGCATCTGGGGACACACGTGGGCATGTCTGCGTGGAGCATGTTGGAGGAGGGGGCAGGCCAGCAGGCTGTCATTGGCCACAATATGACAGGAGCAACAGTTACAGTGACTGTGGCGCTGTATCGTCTGGGAGGTGAGCCGATTCGAGGGTCACCTGGAAATCACATCTGAGCATTCTAGCTGCTCTCAACAGGCTGTAGGGGTCAACGGGCCCCATCCAGTACAGACTGTCATGCTAGGAGCAGGGTCAGGACCAAGAGGGGTGGGGCAAACTTGTTAGCTGTGGGGTAGGATGAGTGAGAGGCACCGCACATTCCAGGTGAGTTTTTGGAAGGAAATTCCCATTTGCAGCCTCACTGGCCAGCCAGCCACAGTCATGATGTCAAGGGCAGCACACAGATTCAAGCTCTTCCAGAAGGGCAAGGCTCACACCTGGACATACAGACAAGAGAGTTGGACAAGAGGTTGGGGTGAGATAGGGACATACGCCAGTCAGGCATGCACAGAGCAATGGCCATCTTCTTGTGGCAGGAAGACATTGGCACTAGTGGCTAGAAAAGGAGTTGTGAGAGGCCGGGCTGGGTGATGCGCTGGCTTCAGGGTGCCCAGGATGTTTCTAGCCCATGCACGCCCCTGTAGAGCCAGGTATGGGAACTCAGGCTCTGAGAATGGGGGTCTTGGGCATAGTGCCTGTCTGGTTCCCACTAAAGACATTAATTGGAAGCTACTGTGGGAATGAGGACTGCAGGCTCAGTGATGTGCAAAGATTGTGTGGAGGGTCTGGCTTCACTGGCCTGTGGTCTGAGCTACTTGGGAAACTGAGGTGGGAAGGTCAAAAGTTCCAGGCCAGACTGGGTAACTTACTGAGACCCTGCCTCAATATTAAAGAATAAATAAATAAAAAGAGGGAATCTGGGCAGTGGTGGTGCATGCCTTTGCTCCCAGTACTTAGGATGCAGAGGCAGGTGGATCTCTGTAAGTGCCAAGCCACCTAGAGCTTCATAGTGAGATCCTGTCTCAAATAAATAAGAAATAAGGCAGAGGGCTGAGGATACAGCTCAGAAATAGTTCTGGGTATAATTCCCAGAACTAAAAAGAGGAAAAATCTGTGGAGAGAGACCCATGTCCCTAGGCTGGTACCATCTCAGGCCGAAGCCAGGAGTGGAAATGGATTGTTGTTCTAAGGGAGGAGATGGGAGGAACCACAGCCAGATATATCCAGTCCAAGGAAACAGTTTATTCCTGCCTTTAGGCTGTAAGTCACTCAGGAGGTTTTTTGTTTTTTGTTTTTTTCGAGACAGGGTTTCTCTGTATTATTTTGGAGGCTGTCCTGGAACTCACTCTGTAGACCAGACTGACCTCCAACTCACAGAGATCCGCCTGCCTCTGCCTTCCCAGTGCTGGTATTAAAGGCATGCACCACTACTGGCTTTGAATTCTTAATCTTTCTATCGCCACCTCTAAGTGCTAGGATTATAGGCATGTACCACCACACTCCGCTTTAGTCTTCACAACCTCCTTTGATTGACCATCAGAAAAATCCTCTGGTTTGAGGCCCAGACTAGCCAGCCCATTCCTTCTAGACTGTGCACAGGCCAGGACCCTCCCAGCTCCCATAGGCTCCTGCTACCTCTCCTGGGTATACTCCTGTTGCTTCAAGGGAGCTCCAGAGGACTGTTTGGTTGCTTCCTCATTAGTACAGTGGGGCCTGGTAGCCAATGTGGCTCCCCTATTCAGGCTTTGAGGCCAGACCTTTTGGGGAATAACTGTTAGTACTCCAGGCCTCTGTACGAGGCCGCTGATCAGTAGGAGGTCAAGTACGTTGACTTCTGTATTGTGAAGCTTCCTGCCTGGGACGGGTCACTGGGTATCTGATTGCCCACTTAGTTCCAGCATAAAGCAGTGAAGCAGAGTAACCACAGCATAGGCTATGAGCACTGAGTCACTTAATGTGAACGTGCTTGCGTCATGGTCATGTTACTTGACAGCAGCATTGTACTATTAATGTCCTCATTAAGAGAGAAGATGTTGTTTTCCGGAGAGAACAGCTTCCTCGGCTAGAAGAAACCTTCTTCTCCCACTTATGGATGAGAATAGGCTCTGCTTAGACTGTCATCCTTCTCAGTTGTGAGGCAGGCTGCTGCTGGGGGTGGTCTTGTCCCCAGTTACCCTCTCTACACTTCAGTTCCAAATTATTATCTGGAAGCAGATGGGGCAAGATTGAAAGACACAAGTCTGGGACCAGTCGGGGAATGTCCAGGACCTTTGACTAGCCGTATCTATCAGGGCTGGCATTCTAAGGCCCTTTGAAGACCCCATGCTCTGTCCCCAAGCATGGGTGTCAGAGGTCCCCTAGACCTACTCTCCACCTTCTCAGTATCTCTGCTGGCTGGAAAAGGTCCCATGAGTACGCTGGCTCTTTTCATCTCAGACCCCCACTCCACGTGAAGAATGGATTCCCAGAATACGCCACGCCTTCTACATTTCCCAAATAAGAGGGTCTTATTTTGTAACTCTGGCTGGACTGGATATCTCTAAGTAGACCAGGCTAGCCTCAAACTCACAGCCTACCTCTGCTTTGGGAGTGTTGCCATTAAAGATATGAGCCATCATGTCTGTTCTGTTATGTGTCGTTTTTATTCAAAAGTCAGCATTTCCTCTGTGACCCCCTCCACTCAAATTCCTGCCCAAACTAGCCTACCACCACTATTATGATCATACAGCGTGCGGCCATTTTGGCAGGCCCATCCGTGTCGATTTTACATGGCCTCTCTCAGCAGAATCTCACATGGTGAAACCTTTGTCCTTTTTACAACACACTTACTTCATCTGATTCCCCTGACATGCTTTCTTGGTTCTTACTTCACGTTGGCTTCCATGCTGGACCCATCCCAAGACTTGGCATTGTGTCCCTTCTCTTCTTCCTAGGATACTTTTATACTCTTTACAAACTAATGATGTCCCAGATCATGTCTTCATTCTGAGCATTTTAGAAAGGCCCAATAAGGACTCCCATTGGCCTGGAATCTGGCCTTATGACTTAACATAGTCTGATCTAACTCCTGGCTTTCTTCCATGGTTCCAATCTGCAGTGATATCACCATTCAAATAGCCACACCTCCAACACTGTCCTGATGTGCACGTCTGTATGTCCACGTGAGTACGGAAACACAGAGTACAGAAGCATCAGAGTCTTTGGAGCTGGAGTTCCAGGCAGTTGTAAGCCACTGAAGCAGGTGCTAGGGACCAAACTGGTCCTTTGTAAGAGCAGTATGCAGTCGTATCTCTCCAGGCCCTCACTCCTTGTGTCTTCTCTAACTTGGGTCTGTGTTGATGGCACACAGCTGGTTAACACCTCATTTACCCTGAAGCTCCTCCCTCACTCCCTCCCTTGCCGTCCACCTGTACCTCTCTTTCTGTGGGGTGTGCATGTTGGTGTTTGCATTTTTCTAGAATGAAAGCAGCCCTCAAACATGAAGGACACCATCATTTGTATTTACTGCTCTCCTGGGAGTTTTTGCCAAGTGGTGGGCTTTTCAATTCTAGAAAGAATGAAGGGAGAGTAGGATAGCCCTAGGGACCAGCCTTAGCTCTCCAGGGCATTGCTGTTGTGACCTTGGACAAGTCAAACCCATTTCCAAGGTTACTTACATGATGAAATGAAAGACCCTTCAGTCTTTCTCTCAGAACCCTCGCCCCAAAGACCACCAGGGAGCCTAAGTTCGATGCAAAACACAAGAGGATTTTTATTAAGCCTGCGTACCGGTGTTCAGCAGCCTTGGGAAGGAGTGAACCCCGAGCAGAAATTACAGCAAGTTTTTAGAGCCTAAAACCGCAAACGGGGTGGTGGGGGTACAAGAGGAGTTTGGAAGTTGGTGCCAGACCTTCATGAATCACGTGTGCTTGTGGCTGTCTGGCTGACTGGCTCGTTATCTGTCTCAGGCAGCGTCTGTGCCCTGGCTGAACTTGTGACCGACCTGGAACCTCGAGGTCTGGGGAATGTTCCCAAGTCCTTGAGGACCACCAGGGAAAGATGTTTAAGTGTAGCTGCTCATGTCCAAGGACAGGACAGCTTAGCAATTTCCCAACTATCAGGGGGCTAACAACCATCACACTTCCCACCTCATGTAGACTTAAGACAGGTACACGTAGCACAGTCTACCCATGAACTTGCTCTGTGGCTGAATCGGGCCCTGATTCTCTTGTCTCCACCGCCTCCTGCACTGGGATTTCAGGCATGTGCCACCATTCCCAGCTTCACTGAGGTCTAAGAAAATCAGGTGAGGTGTTCTAGGTTAGGGCATTCAGTTGTTCTGTCTTGTCTTTTTGTTTGTTTTTCAAGAAGGGGTTTCTGTGTAGCCTTGACTGTCCTGGAACTCATTCTGTAGACCAGATCTACCTACCTCTTCCTCCCAAGTACTGGGATTAAAGACATGTACCACCATAGCCCACTCTGTCTTGTCTTTTTAAAAGACAGACCTCTCTCTTGCCATCATGGAACACTCTATATAGACCAGGCTGCTTTGAATTTCAAAGAGATCCCCCTGCCTCTACCTCCAGAGTTCTGAAATTAAAGGTCAGGGTCTCAGATGACAAAGCTTGATCTATTTTAAAATCCTGGATGTTGAGTGCTGGACAGAGAACTAAGCAGTTAAGATTCAGGTTCTGCTCCCAGCACCCTTGTGATGTCTCACAATGGTCTGTAACTTCATTTCCAGGGAATCTAGTGTCCTCTGCTGGCCTCTGTGAGCACCAGACATGCCATGGTGCACAGACATACATGCAAACAACACTCATATACATAAAAATAAAAACTACTAAATCTTTAAAAACTCAATGGGGCAGTGGTGGCACACGCCTTTCACTCTGCCACTCTGAATT